CAGGGCGTCTGCTTGCTTTCAGCTTCCCACCCAGGTGGCCTCTGATTATCAGGACCCTCAGAACTCCGAGGACCCCAGGACRGCCCAGTGTGAGAGGCACAGACCCAGAGCACCCAGACACCTCCTGACGCGCAGAGGAGAGTCTGCAGGGGCCGACGGTCATTAGACAGTCAGTTGTTTTGTCTCTGGATCAGGAGCATGAACATGTCCTTCCAGCCTCTGCACCCTTTCCTTCCCACCCTGATGGCCATCTCCAGCTTTAGCTCTAGTCTTTAGAGTCCTTGTCCCTCCTCACTTTCTTTAATTCCTGCRACACTCCCCTAGCATCCTTTCAAAACACATTCCTTGGATCTAATCATCTGTTGGCCTGTTCACCACCTGCTTTCTTCCCCAGGCCACAGAGGGATCTGTCCTTCACCTCTGTTCTCTGGGTCCAGCACAGTGTCTGGCCCTCTTCTCTATTTGCAGTACCCAGTTCTCTCCTCCGCCCGTCTGGTACCTGTCCTGCCCATTCTCTCCTGAACTCTAGGCTCACACGTGCAACTACTTGCCAGATAATACCATGATGGGTATTTTCTAGGCTGTTCAAAAACGGTATTTCCAAACTGGATGTAACTTCATTCATAATCCTCCTCTTCTCCTGAAGTCTCATTGCAACSAAGGATGCTGCAGTCCACCTGCTGCCTGAGCCAGAAATCCTGTGGACCTCTTTTTCCTTCATTGAAACATCAGCCAGTTTCCGTTTGGCTTTAATTCCACTTCTTTTGCTTCTTGAATCCATCTTGCTTTATTCAGCTTCTTGCTGCTGGGACTAAAGGCCCCGACCAGAACAAGGTAGAGGAGGGAAATTTATCACAGGGCTCACAGTTTCAGAGGTCTTAGGCCAGAGAGGGCCGGCTCCATCCCCTGGGGCTCGAGGTGAGCCAGAACACCACGGCAGGAGAGAGTGGGGGAGGGAAGCAGCTCCCGCAGTGGTCAGGAAGCAGAGAGACCCCCGCCCACCCCTGCTCCAGATACAAAATAGACCCCTTCCTCCAGCCACACCCACCTGCCCCCGTTACCACTCAGTTAATCCCGCCAGGGACTAAGTCACTGATTAGGTCAAAGCCAGATCCCAGTCATTTCTCCTCCAAACCCTCTTGCATGGCCTCACTTCCGAGCTTTTGGGGAACATCCAGACATCACACATCGACATCTTTCCGTTTCCATGACTGCTGCCCAAATTCAGAGCCCACAGATAATGACGTCAGCTTGACGGTGACTCCAGGGTGCCAATTGTCACTCACAAAACAATAAAATTGATAATAAGGATAGTAGAGATGCCTCTTGGTACGTGAGAGCCTTCGTCCCTACCTGGGCGCGTAGTAGTCCCATTACAGACAAGGAACAGCTGCCTAAGTCAGAACCTGGAACCTGGAGCCACTAAGTCAGAACCTGGAACCTGGAGCCTACGTGGCCTCGTCTCTCTCAGGTGCCACTCTAGCCGTGACCGTCCCGTCACAGCTGAAATGCCGGCCGAGGTGCATCCTTACCGTCAGTTTTGTCTCCAAGTCCCTTCTCCATATCGAGTCCCAGGCTTCCGGGTTTGTGTTCTGAACAGAGGTCTTGTGGCGACCCCCTGGCTGACCGGTGGCCTGGTGACGCGGTGCCAGCCTGTTCTAGCTCRCTGGGCCCTTCACAATCGTGACCACATCAGCTGCCCTCAACCCTTTCCTGACCACAGCCACCCTCAGCGCCAGGCGCACAGAGCCATCGCCATCGGGGGACACTACTTGCAGTGTGGCCTCCTTGTCCGTGACAGTGGAATGCATTCTGACACAGTGTACCCACCCGGAGCCGGCTGCTCCTTCTCTGGGTGCGCGGGCTGAGTCACGGCGCAGGGGGATGCCACGTGCACATGGTGACCATGCCTGTCTCCTTCTCATCCTGAGAGGAGGCTCTGACTCAGGGGTTTATCAAAGGAGGAGGGGAAACGGGATCCGGCAGCCCCAGCCAATGACCGATTCTTGTTCCCATTAGCTCAGACGGGACAACCGTGTGATTCCAGCTCTGGGCTCTTCCTGGGGTCAGGCTGTGAAATCTGAAGGGCTCTCGTGTCCCCAGGCCCAGGACTGCAGGGCAAGAAGGCAGCTCTCGGCTGCCTGCCTCAGCCTGTGGGACACCTGGAAGCACCTCCCGATGCTCAGCTGGGACCTCCCAGGGCCCCACCTCACCCCCAGGCGGCCAGCAGCCGGGCTGAATGAACACTCAGCTCAGAAGGGCCACGATGGCCTAACCCGACCTGTCAATAGGCTGATGGTCTCCGAACGTCGGCCATGTGAGGCATGGAAACTCGAACTCAGGATCCTCAAGCCACCAAAGGAATGTGAGCTTGTGCAAAAGCCCAGCAGAATGTCCCAGGAGCTGGGGGTGCACCCGCAAAGAGCTGCCGAGATGCTCTCAGCCCAGGAGAGGGGGGCACCGGTGAGAGACTGAGACAAGACAGAACTTTCCCTTGTGAAGCCTGAGGAGGCCTTGAATCTGGTGGAATAGGAGTGGGAAATCTGTCAGGAAGAGTGAGGGGAGGAGGATTATCAAGTGATTTTTGCAGGTGATTAAAAACTGGAAAACCAGGCCCAGTGGTGCCTGCCTGTGATTCCAATGATTCAGGAGGCTGAGGCAGGAGGATCGCAAGTTGGAGACCAGCCTGGGCAACTTGGCAAGACCTTGTCTCAAAATAAAAAATAAAAGGACTGGGGACGTCACCAGTGGTAAAGTTCCCTGGATTCATTCCCTGCACTTAAAACCCTACCGCGTCCGTCTAAGGAGGAGTGAAAGAGTGCCCAGTCAGTGGTAGCCCTGGGCTGGTCCTCCTGCTAACCTTCCCTGGCTGGGCGCCCCATTCAAGGCCAAGTTTTATCCTTGGACACTGGAAGGCTCATGAGAAGGATAAGGGAAGGGAGAAAAAGAACACCGAGAGMCGGGGTGGAAGACTGTCATTAGTAATAGTGCAGGCACACTGCAGTGTCACAGAGTGGCCCCACCCACCCCTTCCTGGGCCCTGACTGGGGACTGCCTTCAGGCAGGCCGCAGGGCTCAGGATTGAGGCACTGGGCGGGGTGGGAACTGAGGGTCCAGGGCTGTCGTTTACAGGCTGACCAGCCCTCACTGACCACTATTCAAGCCTCGGTTTCCTCATCCGGAACGGAGCCCCACCAGGACAAGGACTTTGCCTTACTCACAGTAACATCCCTAGGCAGGATGCATCCGTCAATGTGAACCTGCTTGAATAAATCTATCTGGAATCTATTTATTGACGGGAATACTGTTCTTACTACCCCGCGGACAGTGCTGAGTGGCTGAGCCGGCCCTGCCCTGGAGTTGAATAGGACTCGACCACTTCCACTCCTGTGACTTTGGCGAGTTRGTGCCTCTCTGTGCCTCTCTGTTCCTCAGTTTCCCCATCTTGAAAACGGTGGTAACACAAGCACATCTACCTCCAAAAGTTGTGGCGAGGCTTGAAGCCAGCCAACGTGCGTGAAGCGCATAAAATCTGCCTGGCTATAAATTTGTTTGAGAATTAATGATGATTATCATTGTAAGAATTAATTGACAACACTCAGAAAAATACTCAGCATTTTATGTGTTATTCAGTAGGCTTCTAAACTATTGCATTTTACTGTATTCTGATAAAATGTAATGGCGGGTATTATTATTATTTTTATTTATTTATTCTTATTTATTTTTATTTATTTGCGGTACGAGGGATTGAACCCAGGGATACTCTACCACTGAGCTACATCCTCAGCCTTTTTTTTATTTTGTTTTGAGGTAGGGTCTTACTAAGTTGCCCAGGCTGGCCTCAAATTTGCAACTCTCCTGCCTCCACCTCTTGAGTCACTGGGATGACAGGTATGTGCTATGAAGTATTTTTAAATATTAAAAAAAAAATGAAAGCAGTTGGTTCATGGCTCGCTGCCTTGCAAGCCCTTGCTAGATGCAGCTTCATTGCTGTTGCTCTGGCTGTGGTTATAAGAGTCACTCTGATCTTACCCGTCCTGCAGGATGATGGCAGAAGCCAAGGTTTGTCCTGGACCAACTTAGAACAGAGGCAGGCGATGGAGGCGTGAACGGGGAAGAATCCCCAGGAAACGGCTATTGGCATGAATCAAATGAGAGGGACGGAGACTGAGGGAAGGAGAACATGACCAACCAGATGGGTCTTGCTTAGCTTAGTCGCAGGCCAGAGGACAGACTCAGTGAGAGCAGACAGGAGACGGACAGGGTGACGGAGAAGCAGGTACACTGGGTGCGGCTGGCTTCTTTCTGTACAGCTACTCCCATTTCTAGTCCCATGTCTAGTCAGAGGGGCAGGGCAATTCCTCAAGATGTGCACGAACTCCTGCCATGTTTCTCAGCACCGTCATCTGGGCTGCGAGAAAAGTGCTTGCTCTCGGGCTGACGACCCAAGATGGTATGTGGTCGTACCTCAAAACAGGTAATGGCCCAAGAAGACAGGCAGAGGGGCCACCGCACCGTGCGTTCCCTCTGACTCGCTGAATGACGCTGAGCAGCCAGTCTGCAGGAAGCCAGGGGATGGGGAGCTGGGCAGCTACCCCCTGCCCTCAGGGAACCTGCATTTTAATAGGGGACTGGTATGAGGCTGCCCCAACCCAGGCCAGAGCATGGTCACGCGTCGTTTTGTTTTTTATTTTTTTGGTACTGGGATTGGACTTGGGGTTTCCATCACTGAGCTATGTGCCCGGTCCCTTGGTCATTCTGAGATGTGGTGTTGTTGATTGCCTAGGCTGGCCCTGGACTGGGCTCCTGTCCAGCCTCTGCAGTTTCTGAGGTCACAGACCTGCGGACCACAGCTGGCAAGACGACCTCACGTTCAGAGCCAGGAATCTGGCTGGGAGCACTAGTGGAATGCCTCTCGGAGGGCCTGGTGTGGCGTTCTGAGAACGGTGGGACTCGAGACACCAGGAGGTGACTCACCTTCCAAGAAACCTGACTTCCATTTTATTGATTTTCCAGTAGATTATATTGATTCATCAATGCATTGAACAGACTTTTTTGGTAATGTCCATTATGCATTTGAAAGATGACTAAGACATCGTTCCTTCCCTCACGCGGTTCATAGTCTAATAGGAGAGGCAGACACGTAAAGAGAAGTGTCTTGCCCTGGACTGACAGTGACAGCCAAGTGTGGATAATGCAGGAGGCAGAAGGGCACCATCTTCCCCGGGCATGGCTGGGGGGCCCGATGGGTGTCAATGGGACCAAGGCCACAGTAGACGCAAGAACAGCATGCGCAGAGTGTCCTGTGGAAGCCCACTGCAGGACAGCGCAGGGGACAGAGGGAGACAGGAAATGGGACATGAGGTAGAGATCAGATCCTGCGGGCTATGAGGACATGCGTGGGATTTGCTTTATTCGGAGGACTGGGCGATCCGTGAAGACGGCAGGGGACATGACCTATCGTATTTGCATCTTGGAAAGATAAAAATAGCCATGACTTTATGTATGCTGCGACCACACTTCATATAACAAAGTGTTGGTAAATGACAGATCCTAAATAGGATGGTGAGTCCCTGGTGACMCGGTTCTTGGAACACACCCCGTCATTAAGCCACACAGGGTGTATCCAGGGCCACCTGTGATCTATAAACATCTAACTTCGCAGTCACATTCACCATCTCCAGAGAGATGCATGAACTTTCCCAAGGTCAACAAGATGGCCAGGTTCAGAAAGATCTTCTGCCTTCAGGGACAAACTTKAAACTCCTGTACTCGGTGGCCTCTCTGTAAACAGAACAAACAGGGAGGGGGATCGTGAGGGGAGAAACCAAACTCAGAATAAAATATCAGGCCAGATCTTAAGCAGTGCAGGTGGGAATAGAGAGAGAATCCAGAAATACTTGGCAATATTGGGACATGGCAGGGCACTGGATAGACCCACTGGAGGAAGACAGCGGGAAGTCCGGCTGACTGGCTAGCTGGGAGCCGGGTCACACCTGGGCTTGAGTGTGGAATGGGTCAGCAGTCACTGAGACCCTTAGGTTAAGGAAGTGACTTGGTCGATGACAGCATTTTAAATGTCAAGTCTCAAACTGAATCAGCCCAGAACTAAGATGGAATTTTATTCCCGATCCCCACTCCACCCTGCAGTGACAATCGCACCTCAAAAGATSGGCCTGCGCCCCCAGGCTCAAAGGGAACAAGATCTGTAGGTTCAGCAAGCACCCAGAGAGGGGCTGGCCTGGCCTTCGTCCTCCTCCCGCCAAGGCCCGGACACCTTCCTCCACAAGGGCCGCTGAGGGCCACTGGTGAACGTCACAGGTCTTCCCTGGCCTGGAGGAGGTGAGAGGCAGAGCCTGGTCTGACGAGTGCTTGTCTTTTTGCCTTGTCACCTGCCGCAGGTGAAGGACGAAAAGAGACCTGGGAACGGGAAGTAGAGCCGGGAAAGGTGGATTGATATCTTAAAACACTACCTGCCATTTAATAAGAAGGATTTTCCAGGGAAACCAGTGCACAGCCCCGTTCTGCCGAGGCGAGAAGGGGACAGAGGAGCAGGAAAGCSGTTCGGAGCCTGTGGAAGGACGGCAGGCTGCGGTCCTCCCCTTTCCTGCTCACGGTGACCGCGTTGGCTGTCCTGCCCGTTTTACAGATCAGACCACCAAGGGAAGTCAGGAAGTCAGACCAAGTCACCTGTTGAGCAAATACAAGAGTTCAGGCTTAAAATCCTGGTCCTCGGATGAAACCTTTAAGGAAAAAGAAGCCCCCTGCCCGTGCACTCGGCACCCGCTGCGCACCCACAGGACCTGGTGCCTCTCGGGGAGCCTCGGGGGCCTGCGAAGGCTCTGTCTTCAGAGAAGGTCCCACGGGAAACAGGGCTGCGCGCGCAGCCTGGAAGGAATCCTCTGGGCTTCAGAAGGGACTTCCCGCCGAGAGCTGCCCACCGTGCCACGTGGGGCCTTCCACGGGTCCCTGTGACCTCACTGCTGAGGGACAGGAGAAAGCCACCCTCGGCTCCGTGCTGAGTGGTCCTGGCACACACTGTCGGGGGGCAGGGGCGGCCCCCAAGCTCTGAAGAGGGCCTGGCTCTGATCAGTAGCCTCTCGAGGAACGTCTTTCAAAGGACGGGTGACAACTTCCACCTGCAGCCGCGGGAGAGGTGGACTCAGAGACGCAGGGAGAGGCCATCCTGTAGAGCTGGAGGGTCCAGGGAGAGGGTGACGGGAAGGGAGGCTGTGGGTGGAGGAGAGAGAGGGTCCAGGAGGGGCAGGCGGACCCTCTGTAGGCAGGGGGCAGGGGTCTCTGTTCCCTGGTAGCCAGGCTTTCCGGGACCCCCATGTCCCCCAAAGCACTGGCTCCCCATCCCTCCCCTCCCTCGTTCCTAGAGCGCCTCCATCCGCACTCTCAGATCTGGTGTGGTCCCATCTCCGTACCTTGGCTCACAAGCTCACCTCCCTGGACCCCTTCTACCCTGTGCTGAACCTCATTCATCAGAATCACAGGTAAGTGCCAAATGGCCCTGGGTCTGACCTCCACTCCACAGGGTCCCAGTGTCCACTCGGTATTCTCAGACCCCAGCATTCGCGGGAATCACCTGGAGGGCCTTGGAGACAGAGCTCTGAGAAGGGGTCTGAGAACTTACGCCCCTGGCAGGTCCCCAAGTGGTGTGACGCTCACAGCCTGGGGAGCCTGGCCCTGACCACTCSTTCGGCTTGGTCCTGCGCTGTCCTGTGTTGAAACCCAGGACCCAGAGGAAGGCAGGGGTGGGGTGGGGACTGGACAGTTCCCCACAGCACCTAGCCAGCATTCTCAGAGCAGTACCCAAACCCAGGGTGAAGAGTCACCGTGGGTCTGGGGCAGTCTGTGACGTAGGCAGTTGTCCACGTGAACCTCCCCCTCTCCTCTCTCCCGTTCCTCAGCTGACGGTGCCGCTCCGCTTCCTCCTCCAGGCTGGCCCAGGCCCGGGTGAACCTGCGCCTGCCCTAAACGCTCAGTTCCCCCATCACCCCTCTAAGTTTAGGGTGATCCTGACGAGGAGTTTGCCTAAAAGGGAACGATGTGGAGTGAGGCAGTCGCTCCCGAGGGGGTGAGGCCCCAAAGGTGAGCAAGACTTGCGCTCTTTAAACACTTCCAGGGCGCGGCTGGGAGAGCGGAGGGTGAGGGTGTGGGAACAGAGGACCGTGGGGGGAGGTCTCCTAGGAGGAGGGAGGTGGATGCAGGGAACAGGGAGAAACATCGCCTTAGACAGGAGCCAGGACACGTCTCCCATGAAGATAGAAAGAGGAAGGAACCAGCTCAGATGCAGAAATAATGAGGCTGTCGACTCCAGGTGACTCCTCGCTCTAACATCTTGTGATTCCATGAAATCAAATTGCCGTGGCATTGCTGGCTTCATCTGGCACCTCTGCTGGCAGAGTTTTAAGCCAAAGAAGTGAATCTTTCATGAGAGACTCTCAGGCCATGGGAGGCCTGCCATGGGGCGGGAGAGCTTCCCGGGGGCCTCGATCCCTGTTGCCTGGTTACACCAGGTAAGATGGAGGAAATGGGGTAGATGTGTCCCACTGTGACAATGCGAGGACCAGAGCAAGACCACAGAGACAACAGGTTCTGGAGTCAGACTCAGAACTTCACCCTGCCGGACCCCAGCAGTCGCTGGGTTCACCCATCCTCACTCACTCACTCTCTGACCACCTGACGTGGCCAGGAACAGGTGGAAGCGTTAAGAACAACTCCTTCCTGACCCTCCAGACACAGACGTGGGATGCCGTGCTCCATCCCGGACCCACACCCAGCCCCAGCCTATCCTGGAAATACATAAGGGTGACAAGAAGGACAACAGCAATAACAATCTGTCAGATGTGTTCCCAATTAGCGTGCAGAGTGTCTGGTACGTGGTATCAGAACCCAATCATTGGAAGAGCTCAAAAAATATGTGATCCTTCTCCTCCTCCTCCTCTTCCTTTTCCTCATTATCATCATCTTTACTCTGAGCCAGGAATCCTGCGACTATATGTATTATATACGTGAGTGTGTGTATTATATATATACGTACATACGACATATCGCCTACACACACGCACACACACACATGCAGTACAAAAGTTACACGTGGTCAGTATTAAAAAGTGTGCTGTGTCGGAAGGAGTAAGGGCACTAGGTTCCCATTGCCTTTGTTCACGTTCTGGATCTCCTGATATTAGTTGTGTGATTCTGGACATATCACTTGATTCTTCTGTGTCTCACTTTTCTTATCTGTTAAATGAAGGCAATAATAATTTTTATATCATCAGGTTTTTGGAAAATTTAAATAAGATGATAGATGTATACACTAAACACGAACACCGTGTTTGGCACATAGTGAACRGTCAGTACAAGGTGGTTACTCTTGTTATTATTGTTTTATAAAGTTCCTCATAATTCACATCTCAGAAGTAGCCAATGTTTATAGATGGTTGCATATTTTTTCAAACTATATACACACACCCGCATGTTCTGTGAGATGCAAAACACACAATTTCACTTCTTTGGTCACTGACAAATATTATGGGTCACTCTCAAACGATCCTTCAAATATGTGCTGATACGCTATTTCTCTGTTATACTTCCTCTGGAGGCTGCATCTTCACAAATGTCCAAAAGAAACCTCTGAAGATATGAATATGGAAATAGATATTATAAAACTATATATACATCAGCTGCCTTTTTCTGCAAAGGACCAGAGAGAAATCGTTGAGGCTCGGCAGACCACATGGTTTCTGTGGCCACTCCTTAACTCTGGTTGTCATTGGAAAGCAATCATAGACAATCCGTGAATGAATGAATGAACGGTGGTGTTCCAATAAAGCTTTATTCATGGAGACTGAAGCCTGGATTTCATGATTCTCACGTGTCATGAAATATTCTTCTTCTTTTGATTTTTTYACAACCTTATTTTAAAATGTAAAACCCATTTTCATCTTGAAGTCTGTATTATGCAAACACAGGCAGCGGGCCAGATTTGCCCTGCAGGTCACAGGGAGCAGACTAGCCTGCCATTCTGGAGCTTGGTGGGAAATTAGAGGGGAAATGGAGTGTAGAAGTAACACCTTAATACCACCTTCTTGCCTTCTCAGTGGGAGGCACCCTTTCCAATCCTGGAGATGCCTTCTCCCACCAAACCTGTTAAAACCCCTCTCACTTGTCCAGGTCTAGACCAAACCTGTTAAAACCCCTCTCACTGGTCAAGGTCTAGA